CTTCTTTTATTCTCCTGTTATTAATATACCCAACTTATATATTCCTTCCTTTAATTATAATTTTTATAACATTGATAAACTAAATTTACATCTTAAGTATTATGATTGGAGTTTAGTTTTGAATTGCTCTCAGACCGATGAAGCTTTTGAATTATTTATTGGCATCATAAAAAATGCTGTAATTAAATGCTATAGTATCTCTCGGAAAAAACTCTTAAAAAAAAGCCTTGGATCACAAAGGGTTTAATTACTTCATCGGTAACAAAAAATAAATTATATAAAATTTACCTAAGTTCAGGCTCGCCGTCGGATAGATTGGTATACACCAAATATAAAAACATTTTTCTAAAGTTATGTAAATTATCCGAATTTTCTTATTTTAACAACCAATTCACTAAATGCAAATCAAACAGTAGACTAACCTGGAAACTTCTTAAATCATGTTTAGGGTTAAAGCATTCATCACCTCTTAATATTATTGTCAATGATCAAATTATCAATGATGATTTCTTATTATGTAATCATTTTAATAATCATTTTTCATCTTTAAACAATCAAAATGTTTCAAATTCATCTGATCCTAAATGTAACTTTAAAAAATTTTTTTCTCCTAGTATCTCAAATTCTTTTGTTTTGTTTGAATGTCTGCCATTTGAAATTATTGATGTTGTAAAAAATTTTGATAACACATATAGTTGTGGAATAATCTTTTAAAACTGGTCACTTACCTAATTGTCTGAAAATTTCTAAAGTGCTGCCTTTATTTAAATCTGGTGACCGTCATTCTATTAATAATTATCGCCCTATCTCTGTTCTTTCTAGTTTGTCAAAATTAATTGAAAAAATTATTTTAAATCGTCTTAATAAATTTTTAAATTATCATAATATTATTTGTTTAAATCAATATGGTTTTCGTGAAAAGTTGTCAACTGAGTTTGCTGTTTCAGACGTTATTAATTTTGTTTCTCATGCACTCGAATCTAAAAAATACTCTATTGGGGTTTTTATAGATCTTTGCAAGGCTTTTGACTCTTTAGATCACAGTATTTTATTGTACAAGTTATATTCATTTGGTATTCGTGGTTTAGCTTATAATTGGTTCTCTTCATATTTAAATGATCGCTCTCAATTTGTTTCTATTGGTAGTTCCATGTCTTCGTTGTCTCCTATTAAATCGGGTGTTCCTCAAGGTTCTATTTTTGGCCCTTTACTTTTTAATATTTATATTAATGATTTTGTTTACTCTTCCAACATTTTAAAATTTATTTTATTTGCTGATGACACTACTCTTCTCTATTCTCACTCGGATTTTAATGTACTTGTTTAGGTAATTAACTACGAACTAAATTTTGTTTACGATTGGGTTGTTTCAAATAATCTACGTATCAATTTAAGTAAAACATGTTTTATATTATTTGGTCCTAAAATTAGAACAGATATTGTTTATCCAGTTATATATTTAAATAATATTACTATTGAAAGGGTTGAGTCATTTAAATTTTTGGGAGTTATTTTGTCTTCTAACTTATCTTGGTTGAATCATATCAAACATATCTCCTGTAAACTGTCTAAAAACTTGGGTCTTATTTATCGATTGAGGTTTAAATTTCCTAGATTTATTTTAACAACTTTATATAACTCTCTTATTCTTCCTTATTTGACTTATTGTGTTTCTGTTTGGGGTGGTACATCTAAATCAAACCTTCATATTTTAACTCTAGCTCAAAATTTTTTTCTTCGCATTCTGCTTAAATTAAAGAGATTTGACCATGTAAGTTCATACTATAAAACAGCAAATATCCTTACCATAAACCAACTACACATTATTTATCTATTACTATCTTTTTTTAAATATATAAATTAAATTATAGTCAATCTCTTAAAGATCAGATTAATTTATTTAAAAATACTCGGCAAAATTGTTTACGTTCTAATTCTGAATTTTACTTTTTGAAACCTAGAACAAATTTTTTTCTCAACTCCGTCTTA